GCCGACTGGGCCAAATGCTTAACATTTATTTATTATTAACATTATTATTACTATAACCATACAGAAATTGTGCAAGCGATAAAAACCTGTCCTATGCGCTGTTGGCCCGTAAAAACAATTTTATTTATATATATTTAGAAAAAATCTGACCAGCCCATATTAAACAAAATGGTCCGGCCCCTCTGGCATTTGCCAGAATTGCCAGATGGCCAATCCGCCCCTGTAGGCTAGGCTATTATAGGGGAGACCGGGAGATACCGGGGAGTGTTGTAACATGGGGTTAGATGTAACACTGCAAGTTTGACAGATCAGAAAGGAGCTGTAGTCATCATCAATATCATACACTCCCATCTTCTTTTTGAGAACACAGGACAAACTGCATGTGATTGTGAGCAAATTTGTAGATTTTATGACCAAATAAATGATTTTCAGCTAAGAAAGTAAAACTTTTAAACAAGATTATTTTGCATAGCAATCCTTGAGTTGTAGATACAATTATTTAACTTGCATGACCTGAATGAAGTAGCTGTTTCTCAGATTAATTTGATGCTTTGCATTTATGCTAACTTCAAACCCATGCTAAGACAGTTTGCTGTTATGACTGTTTGAGTTGGGGATAGTTGTAACAGTTTATTAAAAATGTTACAACCAACCCCTATATGATTCCAATGAGTCCAGTTATCGATCACATCTTCTGTTGAGGCAAAGTCACATGAGTTTTGTTGTTGCATATCAAGATTTATGCGCATGTCTCCCAACAGATAAAAAAAGATCTGCCTCAATTGAACGCACAAGTTTTTTTTATATACGCATTATAAGAATTTATGCACATCTTGATGGTTCCATCCAGCGTTTTTATGCTATAGCTCAAAATTCACATCAAAATAGGTGGATCATGGAAACATAGCTAGTGACTGAACCCTTATGTGACAGGAATACAGTGCACTTAAACGCACACACACAAACACGCGCGGTTGTTTTGCGCTACATTTAAAGTTTTAAAAAGTACAATATAATGTTTTTTTTGTAGGTTTAAATGGTTCATGTTATTCAGGATCAGGACTGTTTTTCTCTTTATTCTTCAATTATGTTTATGCAAAAATTGGACAGTGTGTTACATTTAAGCACAGACATATGATATCCCCAGCTAGTGTTACAACTCACCCAGGGGTAGATTAACAACGGAATTCTTTGTATTTGACATAACTCACGATTATGCAGTACACATCCAAGTGAGTTCTAATTGGAGTAGACAAATGTGGTTATGTATCAAAATTTGAGACATCTAGCACAAACGGCCACTGAGTTACTGATGCTGAAACAAAAAGTGTTACAACCATCCTCGGTCTCCCCTATTATAAGAACATTCGTTCTTGTGGAGAGACATTAGGCTACCTCAAATTGGCAATTGTTTTAATGATTTAAAAGATTAGGTTATTTCACTGATGTTTTAAAAGTTTGGGTTTCAAATTACTTCGGTAATTTCCTCAGTTTAAGTCAAGAGCTGAGAAATAAAATGATTGCTTGAGAAGGCAATTATTTTCACATGAGACCACGTGTACGGTATGGAGATCTCTACGTAAATAATAGCCTATAGGTTTATTGCTACCTTTATAGCCTATAGCCTATAATTTGCAACCTAGCAACGAACTCAATCTCTTCAGGTTAAATAAATAAACAAGAAACCTAAATAAAGAACCACGCTCTATGAAACACTATCAATGTAGCTATGCTACTATAAACTTAATTTAAACGGACTATGGAATTTATCGGTCAGCTGCCGCCTTTTTCCTCCGCACTATCGGCCAAACACATCCCAGCAAACATTGGTCCGACGGCAACGTCGTTTCCCTGGCCAAAAATAGTCGCGGTAGGACGGCATAAATCGGTAAAAATATGTAACACAGAACATTTCCTAAAAATGCATTCAGATACGTTTGTGCATCTCTACAGTTATCTGGGGTTGCATATATAATTGTTACCTTGACTTTTTTAGCTAAGTGTAGTACAATATGTATACCCTGTTGTGAATCAGTTGTGAGAGGACGTCCACTAGTGACGTCCTTTACACGTGCATTTATAGTCCATCACGACCCTCTATGAAATTCCTATGAAATATGCAAAAGCAATTGTGCTTACACCTTTGTTAATACTCCAATAATTAAATTAAGTGCCCTAAGTAGTTTTTAAGAGGTTGTGGGTAGCCTAACGTCCACTGACGTCCTTTACACGTCTATAGTCGACCAAGACCAATTGTAAAAAATCAATAAATCTTTATGAAATACACAATCATTTATATTTACATCACGATGATTTGTACTTATTTTAATGACTAATTGTATTCACAAAGTGCCCTGTGTGGTTAAGTGATTGTGAAGCCACTGGATTTGAGTCATTATTCGACCCGTTTCCCCTATACATTACAATACGATTTTATTTTATTTTATTTTTTAATGAAATTTATGCATATACATATGAAACAGGTATATATCCCGGTCACCATTTCAAGTCTGAGTTTTATGTGAATTTCCAAAACTCTGCTGCCAAGATGTATATATTTTTTGCAAAATCCCGCGATAGGATAGATTATCTCGCGAGAGAGCGTTAACGCATTTTCCCATTACTTCAAACGATCACAAGGAGAGGACTTGAGAAAGACCAATCTATTCCGATGAACTATAGACCTATTGCTTTAACATCAAACATGTGCAAAGTAATGGAAAGAATGGTTATGTCACGAGTATTATTTTATTTTTTCAACGGTCATTAAACGTCCAAATGTTTGCTGGGCATCTGTCCGAAATACATGGGCGGAGGCCTAGAAGGCCCTGTTTAAACCTATGTCCAGTTGTAAAGCCACAAGACACGATGGTTCAGTGGACAGCTGAGGAACGCGCTGCGATACAGGCGGTATTCGCCAAACTCGACTACGAGTCGGTGGGCCTCGAGAGCTTGACTAGGTAAGCTACTCTTATTTCTGGCCTACTTGAGTTGTTCGTTAACCTATATTTTATTGTGTGTGAGTTGTTCGTTAACCTATATTTTATTGTGTGTATTTCTTCAAAGCATGTGCTTGTAATCAGCCATTAGCTTGTTACAATTAAGGCCTTACTGTTCTTGTATTAATTGTCTGGTCTCAAGACTCTTGGTGGTCTACCCTTGGACTCGGCGGTACTTTGGTGGGTTTGGAAACCTGTTTAACTCCGAGGCAATCATGGCTAACCCAAAGGTCGCAGCGCACGGGACTGTAGTGCTCCAAGGTCTGGAGATGGCTCTTAAAAACATGGATGATATCAAGAACACCTACGCTTCCCTTAGCGAGCTTCACTCAGAGAAACTGCAAGTCGACCCAGGCAATTTCCAGGTTTGCGTCTCAGAGCAGTGGTTATGAAGTTGCTATTTATGTTTGAGCTGTGCTTTACTTTTCTCAACTTGTCTTCCAGCTCTTTGGTGACTGCCTGACCGTGGTGATCGCTACACGCATGAGGACCGAGTTCACCCCAGACATCCAAGCTGCGTGGCAGAAGTTCCTGGCTGTTGCTGTGTCAGCCCTAAGAAAGCAGTATAATTGATTCATCGACTGAACGAGGAAATTATGTAGCCTACTGAGATTGTGTAATGCACAGCAAAAATAAATAAATAATAATTTATTGACACGATTTCGTTGTCCATTGTCTTAAAATCAAAAGGGGTTACATAATGAATTTCACATTAAGTATGATATCATTTCAAAAGTGCTAATATTCACAATTTTTAAAAACTTACAGGAATGTTGCACAGTTTCGGGTATAGCTAAGGCCAGTAGGCTATTTGATGTCTTTATCATTCTGATATGATTTCCGCTTCCGGCCCGTCCCTCCCTCTTTTTTTACACGCTTGACAAGACGAAAGATGTATAACTGATGCAAACTTAATGTCCAAATTTTCTTCAATAAAGATTCAAAATGCTTTATTATAAACATTCATTTTGGCCTTATCATAAACGTATTTAGGCCTAAAGTTAAAAAAAAGACCGTTTTTATTATTATAATTTTTTTTTATTATTAACTATTTCCGTTTATTTGATTCTATTTAAATAATTAATTATATGCTTTTAATCAAATTGCTTAGCATCATGCTTCAAATATGGTTAAATGTTTGACTAGCAATGGAACAAGCAAATCAATTAGTTAAAATTTATAAAATTGAAACAAATAAGATTTATTGATGATAAATATATAAACCTGCGCATTTAAAACATTTAGTTTGTTAGTAATATTACAGAAATCCTACCTGTTTCTTTTCTATTTCATTTAATATAGGCCTAAGGTATATGTTATCCACAGGTAATGACAGGTCTATATAAATGTTTTCAGCACAAAGGAGAGCGTCACATTTCCTTTGGACTTCGACCAAGATTTCAGCACTTATGTCTGGATAGCACTACACCCACATCAAACATCACCTATGATCAAGTGCAATACTGTGGCCTATTTAATAGTCAGTTTCACAACTCAAGGACAAATCAAATGGCACTGACTGCATCACAGTAAAAATTACACACACACACACACAGGTTTGTTTTTGTGAAAAGTGGGGACATGGGGTAATGTCCTGAAAAGTCACCTTCTCCTTGTAATACCTATGTCATACCCTTGTCATTATACAAATGTATGTCCTCATTTGTCACAAAAATGCGCGCGCGCACACACACACACACACAGGTTTGTTTTTGTGAAAAGTGGGGACATGGGGTAATGTCCTGAAAAGTCACCTTCTCCTTGTAATACCTATGTCATACCCTTGTCATTATACAAATGTATGTCCTCATTTGTCACAAAAATGCGCGCGCGCACACACACACACACAGCTAACTAAAAAAAATAAAAATAAATAACAACACTTTTTACAATTTTTAATAGATTTTTAATTGATTATTCCATGGCATTACATTCAGACAAACAACAAAGACACACATAAAACATGTAGGGTGAATTCGGGTAATCTGGGACATTGGGTAATCTGGGACACCTAAACTCCAGTGTGTTTATATCCTGTTCTAACAAAATTTAGTCAACAGGACTTTTACTATAATTTTAGCATAGATGTTATGTGACTGAAAACACATGACTTCATTGGGTTGATTCCACAGAAAGGGGCGGGGCACTTGTCAATCAAGAAGCTCCCCTGGGAATTGCATGACAAGGTCAGTGACAGGATTCACACACGCGCACACACACATACTCACACGCGCACACACACACACACACACACACATGCACGCACACCCACCCCCCCTTCTCCACACACACACCCACACAGTCATTAATCAGCTAAAATATGAAAATATCCATGGCCTTTAATTAACTCAATGAAATGTATTATGTAGGGTGAATTCGGGTAATCTGGGACATTGGGTAATCTGGGACACCTAAACTCCAGTGTGTTTATATCCTGTTCTAACAAAATTTAGTCAACAGGACTTTTACTATAATTTTAGCATAGATGTTATGTGACTGAAAACACATGACTTCATTGGGTTGATTCCACAGAAAGGGGCGGGGCACTTGTCAATCAAGAAGCTCCCCTGGGAATTGCATGACAAGGTCAGTGACAGGATTCTGAGGGAGGAAGCCCTTTATCTCCCAAGACGACGAAAATGTCCTCGCAGAGCTTGTGAAGACACTTGGCAAAAGGGGGTTTCCCCTAAGGATGGAAGATATCCAGAACCTTGCATTCCAATTCACTAAAAAAAAAGGGATAAAGGGCTTCTCTGCAACTAAGAAAAAAGCAGGCTACACCTGATTTCAGGGGTTCCTGAAGCGGCAATATATGCTATAATGAGAAATGGGCGTTAATGTGGACTACTGGAGGTTATAACATTAGCATAAGTTCACAGTAGCTAGCAGCTGCAGACCATATTTGGAACTGCGACAAGACAGGCCTGCAGGACCACTTCCTCTCCTCCAGGGTGGTTGCCGAGGTTGGGGGACCATGTTTCGAGGTCACTGCCGGTGAGAAGGGAGAGACCACCACCTGCCTTGCCAGTTTGAATGCTGCGGGTGGGGATGGCACCACAATGATTATATTCAAAGGCAAACGGCTGAAGGCAGAGTGGCTCCTGGGGTGTCCACCAAACACCATGGTGAGAATGTCTGACAATGGGTGGATAAACAGTCAGTTGTTTTTTGAGTGGGGGAGGCAATTAGTGTTGCAAAGCCTGCCAAGAGATGACCCACGTCCACATGTTCTCCTGCTTGATGGACACAGCTCCCACGTTTACAACATGGAGTTTTTAAACCTAATGAAGGAAAACAATGTCTACGTCCTTGGCCTACCATCTCACACAACACACTACCTGCAGCCTGCAGACAGGGCCCTCTTCAAGAGCCTCAAGCATTACTGGAGGTTGGAGGGGAGAGCCATCACCAGGGAGAGCGGGGGGAAAAGGCTAGACAGAGCCTTGTTTTTGGCAGTCTTTTCAAAGGCCTGGAGCAAGGCAGCGACCCCTTCGAATGCCATGGCTCCTATGCATGCCCCTCCTCAGCAGCATCATTGTCAGTGCCCTCTGGCACATGAGGTTGAGGTGGAGATGGCAGTGGTACAGGTTGTGAAGGAAACAGCAGTCTCATTTAAGGACTTAGTCCAGGTTCCAGTCCGAGAAAGACCAACCACCATCCAGAAGAGATCAAAACCGCCATCCATGAACTTCACAAGTGATGAACATTTTGCATATGCTCAGGGGAAGGGAAAGGGCAAAGGCCCAAAGCCAAAGCCAAAGCCAAATCCCAAGAAGAAGAAGAAGGAGGAGCCATGTACCATCTGCCACCATGCATATGGGGACAGAGATGATCCCAAAAGTGCCGAAGAGTGGCTGTCCTGTGCGGTTTGCAGCCATTGGTATCACGAAACATGTGCAGAAGATAATGGCGTGATAGATGATGATGGGTCTCTCACCTGCAAGGAGTGTTTGTTCCCCGAGTAGCCCCAATTTTAATAGAATGGAGAACTTGAATAACTGACTGAATAATCCATTAATCAAATTGTTGCTTGCTGTTGCTTAAATTTTAGTTGATTCTATAAAATGTTAATACAATGTTAAACAAATGTTAAACAATTGTAATAGTTTTAAATTAATTAAAAATGAATTAACACAGTAGATTGTTCATCCTGTGTACAGAAATAAATTATTTTTTCTGATATTGAAATATACATTTCCTTATTGAGATTTCTGTACTTGTCATTTTTTTCATAATGCTTTTTAAAAATTGTTGATATTGTGTTTGGTATGTATAAAATATATAGGCTTTTTTAGGCCTAATACATATGTCCCAGATTACAAAGTGACCTGTCCCAGATTATCAAATTCAGGCAGATTTTTTTTTTTGGCACAAAAAACACTAATAGGTGTGGCATGTCTCCTCTGGGTACAATATCAACATTCTTTCTTCTGGTGTGGTTAGAAAACATCTTAGGGATTTCAGAAAAGTCTAATGTGTTGATCTAATGTGTTAGATAGATATCGAAATAAATCGCAGAAGTCAAAATTGCAAAAAATGTCCCAGATTACCCGAATTCACCCTATTAGGCTATTTATTTATTAAAGATAGAGTTCTCAGAACCATCCCATTCTTCTTTGGAGGGGTCTTCATCTGAACTTTTCGGCTAAAACAGCTGAGAATGCCGAAAGAAACTTGTCTATCGCCGCGTGTGCAACAGGTGTGAAGTTTTCACCCATATGGCAGGCTAACGTCACAAGGATGCAATGATTGAGAAGCTGGAAAAAATGTGAGAAGTTTATGTTAGTGAGCTAAAGGAAACATCGCACATTATATTTGCACTGGATAAGTTAAGTGGACAGATAGACATTACATGAACACCTTGAAGTTTGTAGGATGTATTCGCAGTTGATAGGCATGGAACCTGCTTAGTGGTGCCAACGTAGTAGTAAGTGTGCTTATGTTCCTCGCACCCTCGGCTAAAGCCTGGACGATTTTCTTCCCGTGGCAGCGTAAATGCTCTGAACGGGGGCTGATATCTAGATGAGAGAAGTATGTCTTTGTTTTGGGGAACGTTGTGAACATCCTGTAAGCCAGTTAACAAGGGAGAAAAACAAGGTCAGCAAGATGCAGACGGCAGGAGACCCCCACAGTATTTCCTCCAACTCTGCTGCTTGCGTCATCACTCATGGGAAAGTGGCAAATACGACAAGACCATCAATCATTGTAGACTTTTGATATTCAGAAAATTGAACGGCGAATTATCAAGGAGCCACCAAAGAGTAAGTCAGACCAAGTTTTGTATAATTTAAAGAAAGGCAACATCCCAGAATGTTTAGTCTGTAAAAATATTTTGTTTATAGGAATATCGGTCTGTAGGCTAAGCCTATATTTTCTTGATCTAAGACAGCATACCTTAAAAGAGCCTCAGATCCAATTTCTTCTGCCACTGGAAGCATTTTGTCCCATATCTGTACAATCAACTCTTTTTCGGTGTTCGAGAGCATTATAAGACGGCGTGGCACAAGTAAGATATATGTATTGGCTAGGCAATCTAAACACACAGGTGAATAAATATATTGAGTTTCTAAACAACGCGAATAATTCGTCGGGTATACTGCGGTTCGGCAGCTTTGCCATATATTTTCGATCACATAATTAAACACAAACTCTGCCTATCTCGACGTAATAAATATAGCATAGAAGAGAGCAGTTGGCAGAAATGTAGTTCCCCGCGGTCGCTGTCTTTATCTCACCGGCCAGCGAGAGGTAGCCTGATCACGTGACAGTTGAAGCTGCGCAATGTTAAGCGTTCTCTTCGTGAGATCAGTGATGCATTACGCAACAAGTAGCCTATAAAATCTCATCGCAGCACATTTGATGAATGGCTATACGCTATTTTTTTATTTGACAATTTAATCTGAATATCAACATTAATTGATCTAATTTTGTGTGTCTGGACAATAGTGATAGCCTATATGGCATTGCATTAAGTTACATCAGTGTTTTTAGATTTGTGGAGTAAAAGTTATAGTTTTTATGGTAGCACTTAACAATATGGGTGCACAAATATGCATTAATTCATGCTTAACTAATGCACAGATAATCACGAGTTAATGTAGGCCTATAACTCATGAAGAACTAAGCCATTTATTAATGATTACTACATCAGCAACTAATGAAAATTATATACGATTCATAGATTAAGTAATAAAAAAATTGTTATTAGTTAAATGTGCCATAATGTAGCCTATTAGTTCCCTAACATTATATTAACTAATGATGTAAATTCATATATTAATTAGTTACCACATTGGTCAAAGCTATTCAACTTCCAGTTGTCTGCTTTAATTAATCATTAGCTAATGATTTGCAAAGGTATCATTATTTTATGACTGTACTTGTTGATGCATGTTGGTTGGTAGATTAATACATTTAAACCTATAGGCTACTTATGCAATTTACATGTACAATATGCAAATGTCTCTATAGTTGATAATTAAAGTGTTAGAGATGTATTGATAGCAATTTACAGTTTTTTTTATTCTACTATCATTACCAATCATATTCCTCATATTCAATAACAGTTTTCAAACGAATATAAACATGTAGTATCTGCTTTCTTTGTTGTGATTTTACCACACATAATGGCAAACGTGGCTCAAATGCAGCAAGAAAACAACAGCAAAAACAGTAAAACTGTGAAGTGCTTACGCATTTATGATGTTAAATGACATTGACTCTCATTTGTAATGGCTACGAGCATGCACTTCTGTGATAGGGAGGGGTCAAGGCATTGGGTCTGATAAAACATCACGGCTGTTCATATCAGCGGCTCAAGCTGGGGGCTGGAAGGGTGGAAGCTAAAGAGCAGCGTAATCACCCGCCTCACTCCTGCCCTGCCCTCCTGCCGGCACAGACCGTGGCAGCATGAACTACACATGACTCAGCTAAACTGAACGGCTACGTCTTTAATAGAATCAGCATTCTTTTACATTTTGTGGAATGTGCAGTTATGACAGGTACACGATTGTGCTCAGGTCTATTCTTGGTTTTGTGTGTGGGTGTTTTTGTTAAACTGATGCAGAGTTAAAGCTTCATTGCATATTCTATTTTCTTCTAATAATTATATGTATGTGTTTTGTTATTTTATATAATAATTTATACTGTGTTTATCATTGCAACGATTAAAAAAACATGCTTCCAACCCTTTATGTGTTCAAATTTTTGTGTGTGTGTGTGTGTGTGTCTGTTTCAATCTGGAAACAGCTCCATCTTCACAGCCTTAAGTGACATATCATTATTATTATGTAGTATATGATAATGTAAAGTGTTTTATTAAATATGTTGTCAAATAAACACAAATTGACAAAAGGGTCTTGTCACTTTAAAACAAAAATAAAAGTTTGTATCATTTTATGTACCAATTTGCACATTATTTGCTTGATTATAAAAGTCATGTCAAAAAAATGGCTTTATTAATATTTTGGTAGCACTTTATTTTACAGTCCTGTTACTCATGTGCATACTATGTACTTATTAATAACTAGGTACTAACCCTGAACCTACCCCTAAACCTAACCCTACCCCATGTAGTTACCTTGTATTACCAGTACTTTCTTAGGTAGGTACACTGTAAGTACATGTAAGTGCACATACTGCAAAATAAAGTGCAACCAATATTTTTATACGGCAAGGTTTCTTTTTGATTAAAATAGAGAGAAAATAGCATATTCACCTGTAATACATCCCCAAGTGCAGTAGCAGAACAACAAGGGATGTTTATGAAAAAATCATTAGTAGGAAATGATGAGGTTGACAGACAAACAGAAAACTCAAATCCAAAAAACAGCTCTGCAGATGTTTTGCTATGATCTGAAAACACTGTCCCCTGGATAACCGTGTGTCCTTAAAAGACTTTCTCAAATGAATGAGTAATCCTTTTATGCGATGTCACATACAGTACACCACAATTCAGTAATAATAAAAAATAAAAAATAAAGTAATACTTTTATTCAGCAGGGATGCATTAAATTGATCAAAAGTGTCAGTAAAGACATTTACAACGTTATGATTTAAATAAATGCTTCTTTCTATACCATCAAGAATGATCAAGAATTCTGAAAAAAGTGTCACAGTTTCCACAAAAAGCACAACTGTTTTTAGGAATATTTCCTGAGCACCAAAATCAGCATATTAGAATGATTTCTGAAGAATCATGTAACATGAAGACTGGAGTAATGGCTGCTGAAAACTCAGCTTTACCATCACAGGAATATTAGTCAATATTAATTTTTAGTATATTTTTGACCGAATAAAATGTAGCCTTGGTAAGTATGAGAGATTCCTTTCAGAAACATTAAAAAAAACATAAAATTTTGAAAGGTATTGCAATTGTTTGATACCAGATTTAGCGTCTTAAATTAAAATGCCTGCCTACCAACTGTTTAAAACAATTAGTAGTTGAGCTTGCTGTCCACTAGATGGAAATAGCGCACCGAAAGCAAATGTATCCTACGCAAACGACATACTGTACACATACAAGGATATTAGGAAAAATTGCATTTGTATGGCACTTATATGTACCTATTTGTTAAAGGATCTGCTTTCCAAACTGTTGCAATGAATAGCACAATATGCATATCAAAGCATGTAGGCTACTGAATCATTTCGCATGCTAGGTGAAGAAAATTAATTTTGAAGAAGTGCCAGTTTTGCTAAATAAAAGCCTATGTTTAGCCAAAAAGACGGAACTGCCTGTCATCCCTTCACAAGACACAAAATACAGCAAACAGGATTACAGATTAATTATTTCCCTCTTCTTTAATCCTATTGATGTGTTGTTTGCTTGAGCACTCACTGGTAGATCACACATGCCACCCACACTGTCTAGTCTCAGCCTGCCAAATACGCAAACGTGTTATATTGTGACTGGATGGCACACTAATAGATTATAACTAAAGTTTACATTAGATTAACGTATTTAGGAAGCCTATGAGTTCTTATGAGGGCTGTAATAATGGTGAAAGGAGAGAGAAAAGGACTGTGAAACATCAATAACTCATTTAATCTTGATTGTTCTGCACATGAAACAAAATATTTGAGTGGTACTTTGAAATCTTGCCAAACAGAGGCCATAAATCATGACTATCTATTTGCTCACCTCTTAGGCCATGTCATGTCTCCTCATCCTGTGAATGCCCCCATGAGGGCCATTAAACATCTATCATTCCATGACAGTTAATCCTCCTTACCAGGACAAAAAAAGTCTCAAGTGTTTAAACAGTGCCACAGACAGCCATTGTGATGAGGAGCTCGGTGGAGGATATCTGTAAGCTTATCTATAATGAGAAGCATGTGTGAGTCTTGCTGATATGTGAAATATGTGAAGAACATGAGCATACATCTCAATCATACCGAGCAGTGTGCAGAAAATGATCATATATACATTTATAAACATATACTATATATACACTACCTTTCAATTAGTTTATTTTCAGATAAATGCTGTTCTTTAGAACTTTCTATTCATAAAAGTATCCCTAAAGCATATCACCGTTTCCACAAAAATATTAAAGTGCCCCTATTATGGATTTTTGAAAATTACCTTTCATGCAGTGTGTAACACAGCTCAAAGTGAATGAAAACATCCTGCAAAGTTTTTAATCTGAAAGTGCACCGTGTATAAAGTTATTGTCTCTCAAAAGAAAGAGTCGACTCTGAATCATTGAAACAAGTCGTTTTTAAAATGAATCCCAAGCCGTTTCATGTTGACAGGAACATGAAACATTAGCATATTGCCCGCCCACTTGGTCTTTTCGTGTTGGTATGAATGAAAATGCAAATTCATTCTTTGCCACTAGGTGCGGCTTTAGGAGCGGTAAAAATAGTGGTTTCCCCGGTAACGGCTGTACACAAAACAGCACTGCACTCACAAAGGCTGCTTTAGGGGCCGTTCACATATCGCGCCTAAAAACGCGTGGAAAACGCTAGGCGCGCCGCTTTCTGCTTTTTCCCAAAGCGTTCGGGCGCTTGCGCTCCGGAGGCGTCTGCCATTGCTAAGCAACCTTGACCTGCGCTGTCCATGAAGACGCGGAATTTTCAGCAAAGTGTAAATGGATTTGCAGCACTAAAAATCGCTTGCAGTAGCTCTACTACTAAATTTATTTTAAAAATGGCTATCCCTGTACAGCTATGATCAGCTGTTCCTTCATCTTGGCTGAGCTTTCAATGTTGTTACGGGAAAGGATGAAGCTGATTGGTTGGTTCTTGTCACATGACCCGCGGTGCGCTTGCGGCATTCTGAAAAGTTGAAATGTGTTTATCTCGATGCGGCGCGGTCACGCCTGGAAAAAATGAGCGCGTCGCACCGCAAAAGTTCGTTATTTCAAATGTAGCCGCGAGGCAGGCGCGCTCATAATGGAAGCGACGCGGTCGCGACGCGCACGCGGTGCGACGCGCT